AAGATAAATTAAGTATGAATAGATCAAAAGAGAGAGATCGTTTAGCCAGACAGGTAAAAAATTACTCATAAGTTGATCTATAAAGGAAATTATTTTAGATAAAACTTTTTACTTACTTGTATTTTAATGTTTATTGGTACCTTATTGGTAATCTATATAAGTGGAAACAAAATATCATTAAATCAATCAAATTACCAAAAATAATATCTCAAAGGTGATAAGATATGCTGATGATGTTTTTATGATATGGGAAGGCAACAATGCAAATTTGGAACTCTTTCAATACCTTAAGAATATCCACACAAATTTAAATTTCACATTAGAAATAGAAAATAATGAAATAAGAATTAAATTTCTTAGACCTAAAACTTACTAATGTAAATGGTAAGATGAATTACGATATACAGGTGTCTCTGAATCACTGCTACAAAGGCAATTTTAAGGGTACTTTGATATATGAACCATGAACGACTTCGGCTCCCCTAAGGAGCTAAACCCCTCCAAAAATGGCGGAAAATTTTGGTTTAATTTTTTTTTCTCAAAAACCATAAACGCTAAGAAAAGGAAATTTGGGAAATATGTTTAACTCATAATAGGGCACCGTTTTGACCCTATTTGAACTTTCAACCTACCCTTATAAACTACTAAACGTAAAATTTTAGTACCCTTATATCAGAAAATTTTTGAAAAAATTGTAAAAATTGTTTATTAAGAAAATTTAAGTAATAACATTAATCTAGAAATCCGAGATCGTCAAGTACCTCGTAGTACCTCGAATTATTGGAAATGTACGCCACTGAATTCTTCGTAAAAAGTTGCCCATATAATGTTTTATTTATAATATGGAGTATTATACTTTGGTAATAAGTAAGATATTCGCGATTGTCATTTTCGCCAATTTTTGAGTTTTTGCCGATAGGGCGAAAACAAAAGACGATAGCTGTTCGGAGTGTTCGGCATTAGCATTTTCTCGAAAAACGAGATCATGACATGTAAGCTACTTTTTTTCTATCTCTTTTAGTTTCGGAGATAGCCTATGCGGACATCGAAATTGGGACACCTATACACCAATTTTTCGGTTATTTGTTTTATTTTGTATGTAAATTTAATTTACGGTAATAATTCGAGGTACTTGACGATCTCGGATATCTAGATTAATGTCATTGATTAATTTTTATTAATAAACAATTTTAACATTTTTTTCAAAAATTTTCTGATGTAAGGGTAAAAAAATTTTACGTCATCGTAAAGAGAAAAGTAATCTCTATCAAATGAGCCTAACGAAAAGGTACATTGCTATTTAAAAAAATTCAAGTGTTATTCGTTACTCATTTGTTTTCTGAATTAAAAACAATTGAATGCAGTCTTATTATGGCAAATAAAATATTAAACAACTTTTGTATAAAATGTTTTTTTATAAAGTTGATACTTACCAAGATATATGCTACATTCCATACATAATGGGCACCTGTATGTATCCATACAATATGTTTTAATCTTAATTTATATAATATGTAACCGGTTTGTTCAGTTGGTGTATTTTCATTGAACAATTTCCAGCATCGTGTGATGTATTCGTCCTGTCGTCTATTTTAATTTGTGATATAATTATTTTGACTGTTTATAATATTATTTAATATAGTTTTATTCATTTATTGAATCATATGTGCTTCTATATTTTCAACGTTATATTTTTATAACGATTTGTTAATTTAGTTTGATTGACGTGATGATTTTTTGTTTCCACTTACATAGATACCAATAAACATTCAAATACAAGCAAGTAAGAAGTTTTATATAAAATAATTTCCTTCATATATTTTTAACAAACTTGCAACATGGATTCCTACAATAATAAGTTGATCTGTCATTAAAAAAATATTTTAGCCTTTACTTGAAAGTAGTCCAGTACGAGTTGTGAACAGTCATGGTACAACCAAGTATTCAAAACTTGAAAACGAAATAGACAGTCCACAAAGGTTCATAAATGATACTTTGTCACAACAGCAATACATGACGAGGCAACAAGATGATCATCTTGAAGCCATCAGTGATTCATTGGGATCACTAAAAACCGTTTCAAGGCATATTGGAATGGAATTAGATGAACAGGCTGTGTAAGTTTTTTACAACATGTGCTAGAAAAGTGTAAAAACAGAGTTTTTATAAGAAAGTTGTTTGATTAATCTTCAAAAATTCTATAAAGTCACATTAATTTAATCTTGTGAGTTCACTCTACANAAGACATATTGGAATGGAATTAGATGAACAGGCTGTGTAAGTTTTTTACAACATGTGCTAGAAAAGTGTAAAAACAGAGTTTTTATAAGAAAGTTGTTTGATTAATCTTCAAAAATTCTATAAAGTCACATTAATTTAATCTTGTGAGTTCACTCTACAATACCACTTGAAATATAAGTTGGGAAATAAGCTGTAAATAATATTTGGGCATTTAAAAAATATAGCGTTTCTTCTTTCAGGAGGCGAATAGCATGTTTAGGTTCGGTTTCTTTGTCTTAGCTTAGTCTTTCTTGTGATTTTGACTGCCAACTGTCTCGACAACGTTAAGTGGTGTTCCTATAGGTCTTCTACCGTGTGGTGTGTTGCATAATCCTGGTGTGTCATCTGTTTTGCACTTTTCTCTTATGACATTTGGTATTTTCTTATGGTATTGCTTTGCCCGTCAATTAATGTGTACCGGGTATCCCATTATTGCTCTTAGGGTCTTCATGTCGACTGCACCATATGTCATCACTGGTTGTACATATGTTTTATATATTTTCAATTTACAATCTGTACTTAGGTATTCCAGATTTTGGACCATAATCTTTGTAGCCATAACCTTAAGTCCTTTGGAGGACTTAAGTTACAATAGATATCATAGATAATAATAATAGATGTTTCAGATTGGTATGCGGTGTCTCTTATGTTGCAGCAGCTTTGTTGACTTGCTCCTTACTTCATCTTCCAGAAACCCTGTACTTGTGCTTTTGCAATCAAGGTATTCGAATGACATGGTTTGCTTGATGATGTTATTTTGTATTACCAGTTTGCAGTGCAGCAGTTTCTTTGCAAAGGTTATTATTTGGTCTTGTTTATAGAAGTTTTTATGTTAAGTTTTCCTGCCTGTTTATTAAAATCCAGTCACATTCTTGGGATCGTCGTCTACATAACTTAATACATAATGAATAGACATAACGAATTGTCTTCGCATATCATCATTTATATTATAATTCCCAAAAGGCATTCCACCAGATGGTGTAAAATGTGTATTGCCTTTTGACAACTCTCTTACCCACCCCATCTGAAAACATTTTACGTTCAGAATAAGTCAGCCTATGTACTAGGGAATAATTTTGGCTACTAAACGAATATATTGAAGAAAATTCTTAGATGAAGTAATGGCGGTATTGGAAGATGAATAGAAAACAGAAAATGATGAGGAAGAAGATAGAAGAGGACAGCATGTTGAAAAATTTTCAAAAATTAAAATTTAAAAGTCACGATTTTTAATTTCGAGGATGCATGGAATAAAGTTAAAGTCCAAACAACAGAACATGGGTGGGCGAATTTATTTGATGATGAAGATATAGATATTGATTTAGAAGAATTAGAAGCTCCAGATTTTTGTACTGAAGGTGGAGAATGAACTTGAAAACAAGGATAGTAAGAAAGATGAAACAAGGCGAACGGTAAAATTATCAACCATTAGATTGCATCAGATAAAGATGTGCAACTGTATTACGCACATTTTCGTAGTTTTAGAGAGCTTATTATAAAAAAGAAAACTTTCAAAGTGCAAAAAAACTTGATTATTAAAAAAAAAAAAGGATTGCGCTGCACAAGCACTTCGTCATCAGATACATATTAATATGTATTGCTTTAGAACGAGACTGTACAAAAACGTATTCTGGTACATATTTTTATATTAATAACAATTTGGAATAGGTTTTAAACCCATGTAACAGATAAAAGAAACAAAAGAATGGGTTTTACGTTAAGTTTAATAACACAGTTTGTGTTTGACTTATTTCGGAAGATAAAACCAATTTGAGCGATTAAAAGAATTCAACTTTAAATGGTTTCAGAGGCTTACAGAACATGTAGATCCATTATTTTCAAACCAAATGTTTACACAATTGCAATATTTTTTCTTTATACAGGTGTCCCGTATCTTCCGCATCAGAGCATTATACCGTTGAAGAATACATTATTCTGAAGCGATTTTTCTAATAAATTTTTTTCGAAATGTTTATAATAACCGCACGGGAACTGTTTAAAGTCGTCCAAAGGCGGAATTTAATATTCACAAAAAAAGTGTATTTCTCTTTCCGTGTCGAATCTATTAGTGAGTACACGTGAGAAACGAGTTATGGACGGCGCGGCGGACTAGCCGAGGGCGAGGGTGGGACTGATTGCCTGCTGAGTATGATTTACGATCTCTTATTGGACTCCTAAACAGTTCCCGTGCGGTTATTATAAACGTTTCGAAAAAAATGTATTAGAAAAATCGCTTCAGAATAATATATCCTTCAACCGTATAATGCTTTGATGCGGAAGATACAGGACACCTGTATATCTCATATATGCGAGGATATAAAGTTTTACAACGTTAGCGTTTCCTAGCTCTAGCTGTTGAAATTAATAAAATTGTTAAAGTAGTGAACTGTAATATTACTGTGCTAATCTTATTAACCCTTGTCAGGCGGATAGTTGTACCTTAACTGTAACTTTTTTAACGTTTTTAGTAACGTTTTTAAGTTGTGATATTTATTTTTATAGAATCTCCGCAATATTGAATTTTCGTGGCATATCTACAGATGCCACGAAAGATATACAGATCTCCCGAAACGTCTTGATCATATATTATCAGAAATGTTCGCGTTATTTAAAAAAAATCATACATTCATATGATATTTGTATTTTCTCCAAAATAATTTACCAACTTGGTTAGGAGATGTGCCACTCAACAAGATGGTTGCCCATGAGCTGGGCATCCTGTACAGGATTACTTGAATACAGAATATCCCGAAAGATGGATTTGGCGCCTTGGTTCGATTATGTGGCCTCGTTCTCCGCACCTAAATCCCCTTGATTTTTTTATTGGGGTTGCATAAAACAAAACGTGTATACAAAACAGATTTTAAATCTTGTCGAACTGCGTCACAATATTTATACAGCAGCAGAAGAAATAAACGTAAAGAGATTTGCACAACTAGTAAAAAGATCTTTTCGGCGGCGATGCAGAGTTTGTATTAGTGGCGACGGCAAACAATTTGATCATTTGCTTTAGTTTTAAGAAAATAATGCAATAAAATTAATAAATTAACAGTTCATTTTGTTTAATTTTGTCTTTAGGTAAACCTTATTCGAAGGTAAGCCATCTTGTTGAAACCACATTTTGTAGTTCGTAGATATTGAGTGGCACATCTTCTAATAAAGTTAAGAGGAAATAAAGAGTAAACACAAATAGCATATGAAACTATGAATTTTTTAAATAACGTGTTTGTTACAGAAAGACAGGCAATGATATTTTTAGCTTCTAGTTGAAAATGGCAAGTGTTGTACTCTTTTGGAAAGTTGACTAAACAGGCCATCTTTTAAAATATGTTTAAAATGTTTATATTTATTTATTATATGTACATTTAGGAATACGAAATATATTTTCCTAATTAATTAACTGCTTGATGAAAACCCTGTTAAAATGGGAAGAGGTCTGCGCCCGGAAAGGTTTCAGCTACAACTTTCAAGCTAGAACAAAAACAAAAACTTATTTAGTTTTTATAACTCAAAAGCTACAGAAACTCGTACGAACAGCAGTTCTTCGTCAACAACGAAATTTTTATTTACAAAAACAACATAACAATAAATGTGATGCGTTTCGAAGAAAGGCTGTCGATCAAAACTGCTGGAACCAACTCCGATACTGGTGATTTTATCCCCGGTGGAACATGCGTACGTGTTATTTGCGATGTTGAGTTCAGTAACTTCCCGGCGAAAGTTTTCTGGGAATCCTTTGTCTGAACCAAAAGGATTCGCTACCCAGATGATCGGCGATAGTTTTTTTCGTTTAATGTAAAATTATAAAACTTTATTGCTCCCGTGGAAGCTCAAAGGATCGACGTTTTTATGGCTTTTTCGGATTGTGCAGGCTCTCCACGGATTGATCTGGCCGTCCAGATGCCCGCCACAGCAGCCAAACACAGTTGGTTAGCAAGATCTTTCAGTAATTTACTGCATTGAACTTTGGTTCTCAAATGTCAAATCTAATCCACTGATGTCGATTATACATACCATAAAAGAATGCTAGAGGCTAGCGCAACGTCCTTCTTGTTGCCCAACATTATAGCCTTTAGTTTTATTATAGTACTTGATTATCTCAGGTTTAGCCATTTGTTATTAATTGGCTGCACTAATGATGTCCTATTAGGTGGGAGAAATTTCCACATTATATTCTTTAAATAAATTGCAATTGTGGAGAAGCAATACAATTTTTCTTTCTTTATTTTTAATTTATTTACCCACCTCCAAAGTCAACTTCGAAAAATTCATTCAAGTCGTCCACTCATTTTTGTTGGCGTGGTACTTCACTGGCAAACCCCTCCCATCTATAGCTCTCAAAATACCGGGGTTTATTAATTTTTTGCTATAACGACCAATTTTCATTTGTCAGTTTGAGACATGTTGGCGCACCATAGAATAGTAATTCGGTCCTGTACCTTTTGGTATCCAGACAGTGCAATATGGAAATAGCACAAGTATCCATCTAAATAATGTAGCACGATAATAAAGTCCGGTTTCGTCAGCATTATAGATGCCGTCTGCAATATTCGTGTGTTTCCAATGTTCAGCGCTTCCCTTTTCATCGTGTTTTTTCTTAAATTTGATGTTCTGTTTTTTTTTCAATTTTTTTTAGTATGCTAGATGAATTTGGAACTGAATTAGAAAATACTGATTCTAAGTTGGATTCAACTATGAAAAAAGTGGCGAAAGTTTTTAAATTATCAAATGGTATGATTTAATTATATAAAAATGATTTTTAGTTAATATTTTATTTTTTTTAGATCGTCGCCAATGGACAGCTATAATAATTTTATCAGTAATGTTAATAATTGTGATAATTTTATATTTCGCAATCTGATTTCCATTATTATTTCATTTAATCATTAAATTATCTAGCAAACTTACCTACAATGACTGTTATTGGGATATTAAAATAATAATAGTACAAATACGTTTTAGTGTTTTACACAGTTGTTCTGAATTAGTCAAAAGCTTGTGCTGCTATAAATGAATTAAAGATATTTTTATTTTACAATGCATAGTTTATTACATAATAATTATCTTCATTTTTTTGAATATACTATATTTATGATATACAATAATATATTTTACTGTAATTCTTTCGACTGTGCCATTGTAGTTATAGATTCCTTAAATAGATTATAATAATTGTGATTTAAATCCCCCCTTGGAGATTATATTATACATAAAACGTAATAAAATTATTTATTGATTAAATTCTTAGAAATAAAATGGTAGTAACATGTGTTTTCAGCACTTTAAATGTATTGACAAATATAGCGCAGGTATTTAATTGTAGCGGTTTGTATTTGTAAATAGAAATGTTTGTCGTATGAATTAGCAAAGAAATAAAACATTTCATTTCACAATTATATTTTAATTGTTTTAATTCTATTTTTATGTTTTTATTTATGCATTTTTTAATTAGTTTTTGTAATTTATGTCATATCAACTAAAACGAAAAAACAAAAACAATAGTTATTAAGAGTGCTTATTTGAAAATATTGATTTTGAATTATCGAATATCACTTCAGCATTCCTGTTTTGCTGTTCTGCTTTGCTATGGAGGTTTGGTTATCGACACTCGTAACGGTCTATTTATTTTTTTTAACTATTGTATTGCTGTCACTTACGCCAAATATCACCAATTCATCACTTCATCACATTTTGATCACTTCATCACCAATTCATCAAATGGATTTTTATGTAGCCCTTCTTGGAAAAACTAACAAATTTACAACTATTTACAACATTAAAGAAATAATCGCCTGCGTTTATTTTATAAATAGTATAAAATAAGCTAAGAAAAATTCTGACTGGCTGCTCATTAATTTTGTACCAATCATGAAATAATTGCAGGCGATCACCGAAACAGTCGCTCCAAGCAAAATGCAGTTTTAACAAAATAAAATAAAATAACGAAACAATTATAACAAAACAATAAAGAATAGTTATAAAAATAAATAATATACACAATACAGATTTATTTTGCATTCTATTTTAATCATCTTTTTATATCTTAAAAATTTATTAATTCTTCACTTGGTTTCCATTGGTGGCACGATGAATTTCCAATTAATTCATCATTAATTGTATGGCGAGTACTTTTCAACTGTAAAAATGTTTCAATTATTTCGGTATTTATTTTTGATTATAGTTAATGTTGAAAATATTCTTTCAGCACTCGCACTGCCATGGGGTAATGATATTAATGTTCGAAAAAATTTAATTAGACTGTGAAATGGTTGATAATTTATTTGATTCTGCTGCTTATTTAAAAATAATGTAAATTCTATATTTGAAAACGATTTTTGTATTTTATATTCCATTATCAGGCGCCATTCCAAATTGAATTCTTCAATTTTCTCATGTGTCTTGATTGTATTTGGAAACATTTGAGCTAATTTTAGGATTGGTGTTTTATCATTACTAAAAATATTACATAAATCTAAGATCTTACTTATATTAATTAGTTTCTCATCTAAAATCTATCTATAATGGAGTAGAGAATTTTGCAAGAAATATTTTTAATTATTTTTCCCATAGCGCAAAACGACAACATAGTTTTAAAAAATTTCAACAATTTGTTGAAGCAGAACCCCATAAACTATTAAAAGGTGGCTATCATTAAATAGCGTAATAAACAGAATTATGGAACAATGGAATGCGCTGATACTGTTTTTTCAATGCGAAGTTCTTGTTGACAGTGTTTATGGTACACAGGAAATATTGAATGAATTAGACAACGGAACCAATAAATTATATTTTATTTTTCTGCAACATATTTTAAATATCGTAATAAGAATGAACATTCAAAAATCCGTAGTATTTTAACTACTGTTACAATGTAGCTACTATAAAATGATTTTAAAATTTTATATGAAAAACGATGTTTTTGAAACTACTGCAATTGAGAATATAAATCCAAAAGACAATAGTTATTTCCAATCATTTGAAAATATAGATTTCGATACGAGATTTGAGATAATTCTTAACGAAAATGCAACAAAGATAACAACAGACGAACTTAATATGATCAGATCAAATTGCCTAAATTTTTATAGCACCTTATGTTATGAAATAAAAAGTAGGATAGACATACCCCGTTGCACTATCAAACTGTGCTTGGGTAAGATTTTCTCCCTTAAACCGATGATCCAACATATTTGCTAAGAAGTGAACTTTTTGCACTTCTGTTTCTGTGAATTCTCCATTAGCATGCTCATCTTTGAATGATTTCAATAATTGTACCCAAACTTGAGTTGCTCCGCTTAAAATGCAGGTTTTTTTTTGTACATTGTCTAATGCTACAGCAATATACTCTAATTTTTTTAGATAGTCTTGAGCAGCTGGTTTTTTCCATCATTTACAAGATTTACAATTTCAGTATCTAATACCACTCTATTTTCTGCGCAAATGTTGTATAAAATGGGCCAGTTTTTTATGTAACTTTCTAGGTAGTTTTATTGAAGTTGTTAATAATTTTAGTAAGTATTCCGCAGTATCACTGTGTCCGGACGTGTCTACGGAATCAATTAAATGAAATTGTTCATTTTCAACGTCTGTCACACACACGGCTATAATAGATTCATTATGAACATTGGTCCAGCCATCCAGAGCAACAGAAACGGTTTTATTAAACAATATTTCTTTAACTTTTGTCTGGATTGAATCATAAACTTCATTAAGTAACTGATTAGATACATCATATCGACTGGGAGGTGTGTATCCAGGTCGAAGGATGTTTATTAAATTTTTAAATTAATCTCTTTTCTACTGCTTGAAATACCGTATTTGTAGCATATATGTACTTGGCTATTTGAATATCAAGTTTCCTTTTTTGATTTCCTGTCATTCGTACCATAAAGATTTCTATACTTGATTGACATTCAGTTGTGGTGGGTGTGGCACTGACAATACAGGTAGCAGATGTGGAAGAAGAAGCTGCAATATATATGTCAAGAATAGCTTCTTTAGGTACAAATTAAAATTCATTTGCCATCAATACACGAAATTAACTAATTGATACTACAATCAAATACGTACTGAACATGTTGAACAACATTTCAAAATATTTGTGATACCCAAAATTAAAGAAGAATATTGAATTAAATAAACTAAACGCAATATATTCCTCCAAAATTTTAATTTATTTACAATTTGTTATAAATATCAGGGACGTTTCGGGAAATTTTCCATCTTACAGCCTATTAGGATCTTAAGTTTTCCTGTTATCATCTGTGTTATAACAATAAAAACGCAGCTGATAATAGGAAGTCTTTCACATAATATAACGTAAATCTACCTTCATCCATGTGTCGTCTTTTAGGTGCAGGTAAGTCCTCATCCGATGTATCGTTACATTCGTTGCTAGTTTCTTCTATCGTACTGCTCATACTTTGACTGTTCGGTATAGCGCATTTGCGAATATGTTTCTTTAAGCGAGCTACTAAGGCGACCATATTTAAACCACATTTTTTGCATTTAGCTCTGATTTTATTGTTAGCTTCTTTAATTTAATCGAAAAAAGACTAAACGGGGTCCTTCTTATGTCCCGTGATAGACATGTTTTCCTCCACGACCTCCACCGATGAGAACGAAACGTGAACTAATTGGAACTAATGTAAAATCGTAAAATCTACCCGAATATTTCGAACGTTGAAACTAAAAACGTCGAAATGATGGGAATCCCCGAATACTATCAATATCCGGTGTTCTACATAAACGGTTGAAAACGTTGTAAAACAGATTTAAAACACAATCTTTAAGCAGTGACGTAAAATTGGTTTAAAACAACAAAAAACTGTTGTAAAACAATTAAAACAATCCTGTATATAATCTAGAGTGCGTATGTGGTGGTGGTGGGGGTAATCAGAAAGTCAGACATGTTGGATGCACCGACCTGAACTTAGCTATAGTTTCAAGTCTCTATTGTACTTACAAATCCTACAATTATAACTTCACAATTCTCATTAACATATTGTTATTTTTAGTAATATTTTATTTTTGTTGAAGGTTTTCGAATTCTTTTTGTTTCACATATATTTTTATAGTTTGGTAGGTTGGAAGATTATTTACAACAGCCCATAAAATGTTTCTGGTTACTTGATTTGAAATTAATAATTGAAGTTCAAGTAAAGTTTATTATTAAGGAATGTTCAGTTCTTTTAAAATAAACTAACAATTATTTATAAGCAAAAGGTTAACGTGATCAATAAGAATTGTTTTAAATATTTTAGTTTATAATGATGTAAATTCTTGCATAAGTATACAGGTAATTCAAATTTGACCCCCACCATTTGGATCTCAGAAACCATAAGAGATACAGAAATGGTTAAATGGGGGCAAAGTTGCGTATCTTAGAGCTCATCATTTTTCAACTAAGTGTTTGGATCTAGCCGTTTTAGTTTTTAAAATATGGCTGAAAAACAAAAAAATTACTTTCGTCTTTTGCAATTTTCTCTTCCGTAATGTATACTTTCATATAAGCATACTCGTCGTATATATCATTTTCAGATATTTGATGGGTTGTTGCAATTTTATTAACAAGTAATAGCGAAGATTCAATTTCAACACATACTGGTGTTTTGTTTAAAGTCACCCAGCTATATGAATCCAGGTCCTGAAAACTTATCTTTGTCCATTTCTGTAAATAACTGAGTGCAGTCTGATAAAATGAAACAGCGTCGGCTCGGAACTGTATAATCTGCTTTTCAGATACTTTTTTTTCTTCTTTAAGTTTATCTAATTTAGTACAAACCGCTGTAGGAATAAAGGAATCTTGAATCTTGCTTGTCAAAATTGTTTTCAAATTCTCAATGGCTGCAATAACATCGAAGACACTTACTGTCTCTTTTTCTATTTGAATTATTGCTGTGTCGATCCTATTGCTTGACTATGTACGAAGTGTTAGAGATTCCACTCTAACAGTGTAAGACTTGAAATATAAATATAATTTCGAAACAATTAATTCAACGTCAATCGGTAAAATATCGGCAGTTGTTCTAACAGTATTGTGGAAAATATGACCCGCACAGCCAACTCCTATTAAATTTTGTTTCAGCTTTTGCTGCAATTTGATAAAAACATTGTTCCGCCCTTTCCTATTCGCTCCGCCAAAATTAGAATTTGTGTTGTCTGCACAAAGTCCAACAACTTTTTCTTTTAAATTATTTTTTATTATGCAATCAGCAACATAATTACTTGAGTAATGAGTTCAGTTCCAAAATGTTTACTTTAATTCCAGATTTACAGTCAAAATATCTTATTAACACTGGAAATAGCTTTATTTCTTTGTGATTGGATGCATCAGTTAGTACAGAAACAAATGTGCACTGTTTTAAGTTACAGTGCAATATATTTAAAATATTTGAG